AACCCCCAGGGGTGTCTTCAATTGGTGATTTGAGGCTTTATTTCCCCTGCTGGAGCCCTGGTTTGTGGGGTCTGTGTTGCTCCCCAGTGTTGCCTGGTTTATCTGTGTGTGAATGTGGGACCACCCAGTCTGCCAGCCGCCTTGTGAGCCATGCCCAGTTCCACAATCCACAGCTTCAACTGGGTCTGCCAGCCACTGGTTTGCTGAGAGCCCTCTCCTCCTCGGCTGGCCGACTCCACCCCTCCTAGCAGTCTGGATGTATGTGTCTTCTTTAACTTCCTTGGTTGTTGGACTTCCATACAATTTAATTTTCTATCAGTTCTGGTTGTTTTTTATTTTTAAATTGTTGTTGTCCTTTCGGTTGTGGGAGGAGGCACAGTGTGTCTACCTATGCCTCCATCTTGGCCAGAAGTCGGGGTTTTTTTTAATCCTCTGTGCAATCTCTGTCATTTAATTGGTGTACTTAGACAATTAACATATAATTAGGAATTTAGTCTGCCATTCATGTTTTTCTCTCCGATTTGTTCTCTCTGATTTCTTTTGTTTTTTTCTGTTTTCTTTTTCCTGCCTTCCTGTCACTAGGACACATTTCCAAATTCTATTTTTATTTATCTATGTTTTTTTAGTGTATCTCTTCACATAGCTTTTCAGTTTTGCTCTAGGCATTAAATTATATAAACATAACTTGTCAAGATCTACTGTTGTCATCATATTACCACTTCTGGTGATGTGTAGAAACTTTCTCTCCCTTTATGTCTCTTTATCCTTCCTCATTTATAATGTACTTGTCTTAAACATTTCCTGTATATACATTTGACAATATGGAAATTTCTGCTTCAACTGACAAACATATTTTAGAAAACACAAAAGGAGAAGGTGACTCTATTCAGGTTCTTATTTTGAGTTGATTGTAGACTCACATGTAGATTTAAGAAACAAATGGTCTTAGCTCTCGTTAACCAGAAAATGTCTTGATTCCCCTTTATTTCTGAAGAATATTTCTTAAGATACAGCACTTGTGGATCACAGATCTTTGCTTTCAGCACCTGAAAAATGTTCTGCCATGGAATATTTTGCTTCCGGTCTCCATGGATTCTGATGATAAATCCACTGCCATTCAAGTTGTTTTCTGCTCTGTAACATAAGTATTGTTCCTCCCTGCTGGTTTCAACATTTTCTCTTTGTCAGTCTCAGAAGTCTGACTACTAGGTAGCTTGCTACAGTTGTCTTTAGATTTTTCTTGCTTGGGGTTTGCTCAGCTTCCTAAATATATTTAAACATTTTGCCAAATTAGTGAAAATTTTAGCCATTATTTCTTCTTATACATTTTCAGTCATCTCCCTTTCTTTTTCTTCTTCCAGTATGGCAATAACACAAATACTATATCTTTTGTTAAGTTTCCCACAGGTCCCTGTATCTCCACTAATGTTTTTCAGTCTATTTCTCTTTCTTGTTCAGATTGGGTAAAATTTACTGTTCTATTTTCAAGTTCACTGATTCTTTCCTGTCTCTTCTATTCTACTTTTGAGCCCATCCATTGAGCTTTTTATTTTAATTATTATAATTAATTGAAAGTTTTTGTTTCTTCTCTATATTTTCAGTTTCTTGATTAAGACTTTCTATTTCCTTTCTGCTTATTTATTTTTACTGAGGTATAACTGACATACAACATTATATTAACTTCAGGTGTACAATATAATGTTTCAATATTTGTATTTATTGTGAAATGATCACCACAATAAGACTAGTTAACATCCATCACCATACATAGTTATTGTTTTTTTCTTGTGATGAGAACTTTTAAGATATACACCAGGGGTGTCAAACTCATTTTCACCGGGGGCCACATCAGGCTCATGGTTCCCTTCAAAGGGCTGAATGTAATTTTAGAACTGTAAAAATGTAACCACTTCTTAACAGTTAAGCGAGAACTTGGGGCTCTGCCAGGTAGAAACAAGGTCCCAGGAGGGATAATACAAGGTAGAGGGCCGAATTTGGCCCATGGGGCTTGTGTTTGCCACCTGTGATCTATACGCTTAGCAACTTTCAAAAATACAATATAATATTATTAACTATGGTCACCATTCAGTACATTATACCCCCTTGACTTACTTATTTTATAACTAGAAGATTGCACCTTTTGGCAATCTTCTATTTCGCTTACCACCCGCTCCCTGCCTCTGGCAACCACCAGTCTGCTGTTCTCTGTATCTATGAGCTTGGTTGGTTTGTCTTTTAGATTCCACATATAAGTGAGATCATACAGTATCTGGCTTTCTCTGTCTGACCGATTTCACAGTATAATATGCTTTGGGTTCATCCATGTTGTGCAAATGACAAGATTTCATGCTTTTTTATGGCTGAATATATATATATATACACACACCACAATTTATCCACTCACCTGTCAATAAACACTTAGGTTGTTGCTATGTCTTGGCTACTATAAATAATGCTCAGTAAACATGGGGGTACAGTTATCTTTTCGAGTTAGTGTTTTCATTTTCCTCAGACAAATACCCAGAAGTGGGATTGCTGGATCATATGGTAGTTTCATTTTTAATTTTTTGAGGAACCTACCTACTGTTTTCCATAGTGTATGCACAAATTTACATCCCCATCAATGATGCATAAGGTTTCTCTTTTCTCCACATCCTCACCAACACTTGTTGGTTTTTCTCCCATAGCCACACTAACAGTTGTGAGGTTCTATCTCATTATGGTTTCAATTTGCATTTTCCTGATGATTAGTGATGTCAAGCATCTTTCCATTTACCTGTAAGCCATCTGTAAGTCTTCTGTGGAAAAAATGTCTACTCAAATCTCCTGCCCATTTTTTAATTAGATTGTATTTTTGCTATTGAGTTGCTTGAGCTCTTAATATATTTTGAATATTAATCTCTTATTTAATATGATTTGCAAATATTTTCTCCCATTCACTAGGTTAACTTTTCATTTTGTTAGTAGTTTCATTTTCTCTGTAAAAAACTTTTTAGTATAAAAAGCCCCACTTATTTATTTTTGCTTTTGTTGCCTTTTCTTTGGTGTCATATCCAAAAAATCATGGCAATAAGCTTATTGCCTATGTTTTCTCAAGGATTTTTGTGACTTCAGGTCTTACATTCAAGTTTTTAATCCATTTTGAGTTAATTTTTTTTGTGGTGTAAGATAGGCATCTAGTTTCATTCTTTTGCATGTGATTGTCCCGTTTTCGCAGCACCATTTACTGAAGAGACTGTTCTTTCCCCATTGCATATGCTTGGCTCCTTTGTCGTAAGTTAATTGACCAGATATGTATAAGATTTTTTCTCGGCTCTCTATTTTGATTAATTAATCTATATGTGTTTTTATGCCAATACCATATATTTTGATTACTACAGCTTTGTAACATAGTTTAAATCAGGGTACATAATGCCTGTGGCATTGTCCTTCTTTCTCAAGATTACTTCAGCTACTTGGGAACTTTAATGGTTCCATACAAATTTAGGACTGTTTGTTCTATTTCTGTAAAAAATACCATTGGAATGTAATAGGGATTACATTAAATCTATTCTATTCCTTTCTGAATCTTTCTATTTCTTTAAATGTGTTTCAGGTGTGTTCATAGCTGTTGATCAAAGCATTTGCATGAAGGTGGCTCTAAAATCTTTGTCAGATGATTTTAGCATGCCTGTCTTCCCAGTGTCGGCTTCTCTGAATTGCCACTTCACATTCAGTTTAAGATTTTCCTAGTTCTTTGTATGATTAGTAATTTTCAATTCAAATTTGGATGTTTTGGGTTATGTTATGAGACTTTGGGTCATATTTAAACCACCTGTTTTAACTGACATTCCACTGGGTCTTCTCTGATACCAGCACAGTGGGACAGGAAAGGAGTGACTCATTACTACTGGGTGGGAATGAAAGTCCGATATCCCCCTGTGGTCTCAATTAACATGGAGGGGAAACCTCATTACCACTCTGTTAAGATGAAAGTCCCAGGTCAATACTCAGCTTTCTTTGGCACAACCCTGGCAGGGGTGTTTAAAGTGCTGAGTTATACACTGAAGAGTAAAAGTCTAGGTTTCCCACTAGGCCTTTGCTGGTAAAGGTGGGGATAAGAACACTTTTTTTCTGGTGTGCTTAGCTAAAATGGAATGGAAATTGTCTAAAATTCTTCTGCCTTGTTGGGCAGCCCCTTTCCTGGCTCTTTGGCTAAAGAAAGGAGACTTTTGTTGTTGTTGTTTTTTCTTGACCTGTTTTTGTTTCCAGATTACCAGCCTTTTCTGCTCCAAGTCTAGAATATATGAACCAAAAGAAAACCCAAGAACTAATTCACAACCATTTCATTTCTTAGGTCCCAAACTTCCCAGTTAGGTTGCTTCATTCTCCATCTTTCAGAGCCTTTTAGGTTTTTAACAGCCAGGTATTTTAGTTGTACTTAGAAGGAAGAAAAGTAATAGTAGTTATGCCCTATTTTCCCCAGAAGTGGAAGTCTCAAAACCAACTTTCAAGAAACTCATTAAGTTCTGGTATATTATCAAAGGAGAATATCCATAATTATGTCAAAAAGCTATTAAAATAATCTTTCTTTTTCCAGCTGTCTTTCTGTGTGAGATCAGAATTTCCCAACCAAAAGAAAAACCTACCACAAAACTGAATGCAAAGGCATACATAAGAATCCAGCTATCTTCTATTAAGCCAGACATTAAAGAGATTTGCAAAATAAGTAACATAATCCTAGTTTTCTCATCAAGTTTTTTGTTTAAAAATATAATTATTTTTAAAGTAGATTATTTATGTTAATATGCACGACTTTATTACTATTATTTTTAATAAACAAAAAAACTTTTAATGTTTTCTAAATTTTAATTTTCAACATTGTAAATGCCAATAGATACAATCCACATAAACAATTATTGAGGTCATTAATAACTTTTATGAGTACAAAAAGGGCCCTGAAATTTTAAAGTTTAAGAACCTGTAGGTTAGATAAAACTGATATTCAAGCAAGTTCTTACTTCCTCTCCCAAGAGTTGCAGTGGTTTGTGAGCACACTGTCCAGTTCCTTGTTCCAATTCGGGTGGCATCCCTGGTGTTGCTGGAAGGACAGGAACATGTGCTTGATCATCACCCATAACAGGGATTCCTTGCATTACTCTATAGTGTAATAAAAACAATAATTTTTTTAAGTCATTGATAAAGCAAAAGACATTTGCTGACATTTCAGATTTCTGTCAAGATAAATACACTGACATTTGATATCTGTATTAAATAGAGATTGTGCAGAAGTCAGATAATCCAAAGTGGGTAAGAATTTTTCAAAATTATATTTGATTCTAAATACCTTTAAGTCATAATCCTCTGATGGTTTTGTTTTATTACACTGGAATAATAAATTCATCCTATAAAAACCTGATTACAAAAGAGATTAAAAGCTCTGTACCTTCTTCTGATTGCTAACCTGTTTCCCACTTCAAACACAGAAAATGCTTTTAGGGAGGCAAGATGGTAGCAGAGTAGGTCACGCACCTCCTCCCAGAACCAAACTGGAAACAAAACTAAAAAGGGGAGCAATCACCTGAAGTAAATCAAAGACCACCTACAAAAGAGACTTTTAACTACCCCTAGAGTAGGAGGGGAGGGGTCGATTAAGAGGCCAACCCTGATAACATGGGTGGGCAGGCTGAGGCGGTGGGAGCTTCCCGTTGAGAGGAGAGAAGCCAGGTCCACAATCAGGGCTCCCAAGCAAGGGAGCCCCTGTGCCAGGATCAGCCAACCAGGCAGCACCAAGCGGTGAAAGGCCACAGGGTTTTTCTCTGTTGAGGAAAGACAAAACCCACTGGAGATAGTCACTATTTTCTTTTCCTTTTAATTCTTAAGGGGACCAAAGCATAGATTTTGTATTTGTAACCACTCACTTTCAGCCCCAGTGAAGGGAAAACAGCACAGAGTACAGCTGCATGAGGAGAGCCTAGAGTGGGAGGCACTGGAGAGAGATTTGAGGGGTGCCTATGGGGCTCTCTATGCCGAGATATACCTGGATTCTTCAGCATCCATCTTTCTGGAGAAGAGCAAGCCTCTCCCAGGGGAAAAGCAATTACCTTACTCTGTGGGATGCCACCCCCATGATCTTCTATAATCCTGCTTGCTCTACCCTGAATCTTTTTTTCCCTTTTAGTTGATATGTTTGTTTATTTGTTCTGTTTTGTGTGGGTTTTCTTTCTTTTTTTTCTTCCTTTCCCCCCATCCTGTATCTTAACTCCTGCTGAGGAGACAACAACACAGCAAACTCAGGGGGTGCCAGGGACTGGCTATAGAGTGCAGTCATACCATACACTCTCCTGGGACACACACGGGTGCGTCCCCCTCAGGACAGCCACAGAAGCATTCTCCCAGTTTCCAGCAGACCCAAAACCTGGACTCTGGAGGCCCCACTGATTAGCCTACTAGGAGCCCCACCCTGCTGAATACCGGGAAATAATCCCAAACAGACTTAGACTAAGTGGCAGAGGGGCAGGGAAACACACTCACTATCTTCCCTGAAGTCTGATCGGCACCTGCCATGGGAGATCCAAGAGTCCCATCCGCCTGATTTGAACAGAAGCCCTCTCAGAAATAGTCGGGTCTATAACTAATCTAAGGCTGGCAGCAGGCCAGCAGGCAGACAGACAGAGGCAGATCCTGCAGTGACTCGTATTGTTTGCTGATGCCCCTGGACCCAGTACTGATAAAAGCCAGCTTTATGGAGCAGCTTGGCCCATCCCAGGCCCAGCCAAGCCCAGATGAATCAGCCACAAAATGTGGATGGCTAGTAGCTTTGAAAATGCTGCCAAGGGCTGGAAATGGACAGCCCCTGACACTGGTTTACACCAGCCTCAGAAACATCAGAGTCATGTCCAAAGGGAGAACCCAGCAGGCAAGTACTAAACTCTGCTGAAAAGAATCGCTCTTTGATCTATTATTTTCATCATTTTTTCCCTTTCCATAGCTTTTTATTATATTTTCTTTTTTCCTTTTTTCCTCTATTTTTGTTGCTCTATTTTTTCTTTGATATCCTTATTTTACTCTTATGTTTAATTACCCCACTGTTGCCTTCTACTTTCCTTTTCTTATTTTCATTATTATTCCTCTTTTTTCCAGTTTTCCTCTTTCAGCCCATTAGTTGCATTAGTTCTTGACCCTTTTCTTATCTCATAATCACTTTTCTTTCCTTTGGTCTTCTCTTATTCTATTTTTTTCTTTTTGTTTCCCTTTCTGTACTATTCAATTTCTCTTCCCACTTTTATTGTTCTTTGCTCTTTTGTCATTGATATTGCTGTTGTAGCTGGGAGTGTTGCTTGTTTGGGTTTTGTTTTTTATGTTGTTTTGCTTTGTTCTATCAGCACCTGCACAACAGCTTATAAGAGAGGGGTAGGCATAGAGCCTCACAGACAGAGCTGGAAGTAAGATACAACCAATGAATGGGCCAAGAACAACCAGAGCCCAACAATAAGAGAAGAGTCCACATAACCCACACCACACAAAGAGCATTCCTAGACCATCCAGATCAGGAGATTAGGGAGACTACACCATTGGGTACCACAGGACTCCTTCCACAAAAAGGTAACCCCATAAGACAGGGAGTCAAAGCAGATCTATTTAATATGTAGAAACAAACAAAAACAGATAACTAAAATGGAGAGCCAAGGAAACAATCTACAAATGAAAAAAAGGAGGAGTGGCCAAGAAAAAAAATAAATGGAATTAAGGCAAACAAATGATCAGATGTAGAGATCAAAGTATGGTTATAAGTACACTCAAGAAAATTAAAGAGGATTATATTGGCATAAAAAAAGACACAGAAACTATGAATAAGGACATGACAGAAATGAAGAACACAATATCTGAAATGAAGAATATACTAGAAGGAATTAAAAGCAGACTACACAAAGCAGAGGATCAAATCAGTGATTTGGAAAACAAGGCAGGAAGAAAACCACCCAATCAGAGCAACAAAATTAAAAAGGACTAAAAGAGAAAGAGGACAGTTTAAGGGAGCTTTGGGAAAACATGAAATGTAACAATATTCACATCATAAGGACACAAGAAAGAGAAGAAATGGAGCAAGGGATAGAAAACTTGTTCAAAGAATTAATGACAGAAAACCTTCCTAACTTGGTGAAAGAAAAAGTCATATGAGTTTAGGAGCACACTGAGTCCCAATTAAGATGAACCTGCAGAGGCCTACACCAAGGCACATCACAATTAAAATGACAAAGTTTAAAGACAGAGACTCTCGAAAGGCAGAAAGAGAGAAGTAGTTAGTTACCTACAAAGGGGATGCAATAAGGTTGTTAGCTGATTTCTCAACAGAAACACTACAGGCCAGAAGGGACTGGCATGAAATGTTTCAGGTAATGAAAAGTAAGAACCTGCACCCAAGACTACTCTACCCAACAAGCCTCTCATTTAAAATGGAAGGTAAAATAAAGAGCTTCCCAGGCAAAAACAACAATAAAATGCTGGAGTACATTTCCACCAAACCAGTATTGCAAGAGATGCTAAAAGGACAGCCTTAAGAAGAAGTAGTAGTAGAGAGAACAACACAGGTACAAAGGGAAAAAATGGAATTAAAAAGTACCTATCACTAATAACCTTAGAAGTAAGTGGATTAAATGCCCCAATCAAAAGGCATGAGGTAGCTGAATGGATAAGAAATATGACCCACACATATGCTGTCTACAAAAGACCCACCTCAGAACAAAAGATTTATATAGGCTGAAAGTAAAGGGATGGAAAAAGATATTACATGCCTATGGACATGAAAAAAATCAGGGGTAGTAATACCTGTATCAGATAAAATAGACTTCAAAACAAAGGCCATAGTAAAAGAGAAAGGTTACTACATAATAGTTAACAGTTCAGCCCAACAAGAGGATATAACCCTTGTAAACATATATTCACCCAATATAGGAGCACCTAAATATATAAAGAAAATCTTGAAGGACTTTAAGAGAAAGATCAGCCATAACCCCCAACAGTAGGGGGTTTTAACACTCTACCAGACAGACCTTCCAGACAAAAAAATCAACAAGGATATAGCATTATTAAATGACACAGTAGATCAAATGGATTTAATTGACATCTACAAGACATTTCACCCCAAAGAAGCAAAATATAATTCTTCTCAAATGCATATGGATCATTTTCAAAGACCGACCACATGGTGGGACATACTACAAGCCTTAAAGAATCAAGAAAACTGAAATCATATCAAGTATTTTCTTGAATCACAATGGCCTGAAATTAGAAATCAAACTCAAGGGAAAAAAACAAAGTATTTGAATACATGCAGGCTAAATAACATGTTATTAAATAATGAGTTGGTTAATAATGCAATCAAGGAAAAAAATAAAGAAGTATCTGAAAGTAAATGAAAATGAACATACAATAACCCAAAGCCTATAGGACAAAGGGAAAGCAGTCCTGAAGGGAAGTTCATAGCATTACAGACCTACCTAAAGAAAATAGAAAATCTCAAATAAACAACCTAACCCTATACCTATAAGAACTATAAGAAGAACAGCAAACAAAGCCGAGAGCAAGTAAAAGGAAGGAAACACTCAAGATCAGAGCAGAAATAAAGGACAAAGACTAAAAAATCAATACAAAAGACCAACGAATCCAGGAGCTGGTTCATTGAAAAGATAAACAAAATTGACAAACTTTTACTCAGATTCATCAAGAAAAAAGAAGAGAGGACCCAAATAAATAAAATCAGAAATAAAACAGAAGAGATTACAACTGATACCACAGAAATACAAAAGATTGTAAGAAATTAATGTGAACTACTATATGCCAAGAAATTGTACAGGCTGGGAGAAATGGATAAATTTCCAGAAACATACAATCTTTCAAAACTAAATCAGGAAGAAGCAGAAAACCTGAATAGACCAATAACAATTAGTGAAATTGAAGCAGCAATCAGAAAACTCTCAGGATACAAAAGCCCTGGACCAGATGGCTTCACAGGTGAATTTTACCAACCATTCAAAGAACAACTAACACCTACCCTTCTCAAACTATTCCCCAAAAAATTGAAAAAGAGGGAAGACTTTCAAACTCTTTTTATGAGGCCAGTATTGTCCTAATTCTAAAATTAGGTAAAGACACGACAC